GATTTAGGAATGTGTTCCAAATCACATTCAAGGTAATCATATAAGCACAAGACTCACATTGGATAGTAGACATGAATAAACTATCAAACCAAACAATGTGGTCAAGAGTATTGTATTAGAGAAAGACCGTATTGCATTTGTAATCCTAAAACCGAATAGGTTCTCCACCTCTTCTGATTAGCTTGGGTAACCATGACATGCTGCTAGGCGTCAACCATGGTTTGTGGAAGCCCTAAAAGTGTATTATCACTAACGGGAGAATTGAAAGTAAGTTTCAATTCACAATCAATTAGAAAGAGTTTTAATCGCCCACTGCCTCGCTAAAAGGAACCTAATGGATCGTTCACCGAGTAAGGTAGAGTTTGAAGAAACAACGGAGATGAGTAAGAATAATTAAATGGTTTAATTATTTATCTAAGGCTAGGATTAATTAATATGTTAATTAATCAAACGAATAAGTTCGTTAAAGACCTCGGGTTAGTTTTGGGCCGCAAGGCCCAATGGGATTTGAATGTCAAGCCCATTAACTCAAGTTGTATGACAACTTGAATAAACAAAGGGCTTGAAAGCCCAATAAACCCTATAGGCTTGCCATGTTAGAAGAATAGGGCTTTTGGTCCATTAGGTCACTTATTTGAAGGGACTATATAAAGGACTTTATAGCCTAAAATTTACATATGGTAATTTTTGGGGAAAGGATGAGAACATAAGCTCTCCTTTCTCTCTAAAATTTAGGCCACCTTGGAGGGATCATCTAGCAATCAAACTCCTCCAAGGTCACTCATTTCTTATTCATTATGCCTTGGTGATGAATCATTAGAGGTTCTCAATTTTGGGAACTTGGAGAAACCTTTTCATCCATCCAAATCCATGGATCTAAGATGCAAGGAATGAAAGCCCTCTCTTTGGGTGATTAGCCTTTGCTTATGCAAAGAGGAATCTACAAAGGTATTGATTTCTCAACTCACTTTGTTTTGAGTTGAGTCTTGGTTCACCTATCTACTAGGCTTTGAATTTCATGGGTAAATGTTTTGTTTTAAGTGCATACAAGCATGATTCCGCCTTTAATTGTTAATTGCATGCTATTGATGTTGCTTAAATGAACATGTTTTTCACAAATCTTCCTTCAGAAACATGCAACAAGACAATCCTGGACTACCTCAAGAAATCCCTCACAGACAAGTATGGGAAGTGACCAGACGAACTTCCTGGTGTATTATAGGCATACCACACAACCAAGCGACGAGCAACCGATTAAACTAATTTCTTCTTGGCATTTGGTTCAAAAGTAATCATCACTCCCAATGTCATTATGCCAACACATCAGCACTATATTGCCATCTTTGAAGCAGAATAGAAAGAAAATGTCCACAAATCTAGATCTGGTAGATAAGGAATGCTAGAAGGTCATCATCCCCATTGCAGCATACCAGCAGCAGCTCCTCTCCAGCTACAACAAAGAGGCAAAGATTCAGCAGTTTCAGCCTAGAGATCTGGTCTTAAGAAAAGTATTCATCAATGCCTCAAGAGAAGGCTCCAAAAAGATGAATCCTATCTGAGAAGGTATGTACAAAGTTAGCAGAGCGGATGACAAGGCTAACTACACCCTTACCACTATGGATGACAAAATGATCGACGAGCAATGGAATGCCTACAACTTGTGAAAATACTACTCACGACCTCCTACTTTTCCCTGAGCCTTGCTCGAATGAAATAAAGCTCGAAGATGATGCAAACACACCCATGTTATTAATTAATGTTGAGATGTTGCGACATGCAGCGGAGATTTATGCCCCAGAAGTTTATAGACTATTCCAAAAGGAGTACATGTGTATCCTGAATTACAATATATACAAAGTTAGCAAGTCTGGGATGATATATGAGTACAAGGTAACTTATAATGGCAAACCTCAAGAGCATTTTGTCAAATTTAAAGCTTTAATAGAAGGAATCACATGTAGTTGCATGAAGTTCAGCTTTGTTGGGATTTTATGTTGTCGTGCATTAAAAGTGTTAGACAAGAAGAATGTGAAAAGAATCCCGCATGATTACATTTTTAAAGTAATGGACAAGAGATGCAAAGGGTTGAAGCATAACTAATTATCGTGGAGGTGAGGGTAATGGCCATGCTAAGGAGTCTATGGGGAGGCGTTACAGCCATTTGTGTCATAATTTTTGTGAGATAGCATCCTTAACAGTTGAACATGAGAAATTCACAACATATGCTCATGACTGTTTAGTTGATATGCTAAAAGGTTTGGAAGAAATGAAAAAAAAAAAATTGTCAAGAAATACATGTACTAATAAAACATCAGAAGGTCAAGTTTCAGTACAAAAAAGTGGAGCAATTGAGCAAGAGGGTCAAATTTTAGATGGTGAAAGTGTAGCAAGTAAACAAAAATGTCAAGCTTTTGATGTTGAAAGTGGTGCAAGCGAGCATAAGGAAATGATACAACTTGATGACAAGTGTGAGGTCATAGCACGCGAAGTTAAAAGAAAAACTATTGTTGGACGTCCGCGTAGTAGATGCAAAGACCCGCTTGGAAGGCGTGGGAAGCCACAAACAAAAGCCACCAAATCTTCAACAGGAAAAGTCACCCACTTGAAAGTACATGTTGTAATTCATCATAAATATGTTATAAATTATATATCATTATGCCCAGTTATGTGGATTCTGTTTTCATTTAGGAATTGTTTCTTTTCATTATGAATATAACAAGATTGTGCTCCCTTTAGTGGCAATTCAAATGAGCAACAGGTTATTCGACATGGATATCCTATGTTCAATGTGCTAACTTAAGTAAGATATCATTATCATATTTAATTTTATTTTGTTCATTGTTTTATAAAAAGAAACTCCATATAAAAAAATCATGTTTTTAGCAGGGACCTATATGAATGTTGGAACCCAAGTATCATTTCCAAGCACAAATATAAGTGCAACTAATTAGCACGGAAGCATGCCTTTCACTAATCAGCAACTTCTTCAGCTTCAGGTAACTAGTATAATTTAATTACTGTTATATTCGTCCAAATGATTTCTGTTTATATATGTATAATTTTCCTATTATGACATGTTTATATATTTCACTATTATAGGGATCATGTATTGAGAATGGAACTCAAGTACCATTTTTTTGTCCATTTCAAAAATCTCATAATAGCATTCCTCTTATTCAACATTTCCAGGTAACTAGTATAATCTAAGAAGTATTATATTGTATTGTTTTTAGGAATGATTTTATATAAAATAATTTGTTTGGTAATTTATAGGAAGTTATGACGCACCATCATAGCCTTTCACAAAGTAACAGTGCAAACAAGGGTCCTAGAAAATGAGAAGATAGAGACTAGGGGTAGGTTCAAAAAACCGAAAACCGAAAAAAACCCAAAACCAAACCGGACCGAGGTCGAAAAAAACAAAACCGAAACTACCAAACCGAACCGAACCGAATTTGGCTGGTTCGGTTTCGGTTTTTGAGGTTTGGAAACCGAATCGGACAGAACCGAACCGAAAAAAAAAATTATATATAAATACTAAAAAATGCATGTTGCCGTCAGGGTTTGAACCCTTTCCCCGCGAGTTGGGGTTGGTTGTTGCAAGCCAACTTGACTGTAGGCTTTGTGTTGTTATAATTGTACCAGTAATTTATTTATGGGTTTCTTATGTTTAATGCTTTATAAAATTTCTTAACTTTACAAACCCTAACTGTCTCACTCCCATTTCATTTCAAATCCCAAACACCTCTCTGTTCTGTCCGCTGCTTCCTCTTTGCCTTTGCTTCCTCTCGTTCTCTCTCTCTCTCTCTCCCTCCCTCCCTCTCCCTCTCCTTCCTCTCTTCCTCCAAATCACTCTCTCTCCAGTCTTCTCTTGTCCTCCTCGCGGATTCCTTCTTCCAAACCATGATTTTCCCTCACCCTTTTCGAGATCCGACGAAAAGAGGAATTGAAAGAGCTTGCGACGATCATGGCGATATCGCTGCAACAAAGGTTGTGGTTTTATTTATTTGTCAGTTCATAGGTTTTTAATTGTATGGTTACCCATTTGAAATTTATGTAATTTAAGGTGAAAAAGTTCGTATTTTTCTCTGAATATGTTTTGGAATTTTCTAGATCTGTTGTGGACTTGACTATGAATTTGAATGTGGGCACTGGGCATGCGTTATTGAAGTACGATTATGGTATTTAGAAGAACCCAATTGCTTTTTTTTTTTTTTCAATTTGCATCGATCAATTAATTTGTTGAGTTATTTCATGATTTTGTAAATTTTAAAGTTTTTGAATTTTGAATCCTGGCGATGTACATTTCCTCGAAGAATATATGTTTATGTATTTGCTTAACTTTTGAAAAATTGAATTCGTTCTGCTTGATCACAAGTAGTTGAATTACTTGAATATATTCAGGATTTTGAGGCTCTCAATTTTCTGATATATGAGAACTGGGAGGTTGATAGGTAGGTTCCTTCCATTTACATCATTTAAAAATAAAAATAAAAAACCAAAAAAAACCAAAACAGAATCAGAAAAAACCGAAACCGAAAAAAACCGAACCGAAAAAAAACCAAAAAAAAATGAACCGAACCGATTTTGGCAAAAAACCAAACCGTTTTGAACCGAACCCGGCCCTAATAGAGACCATGGAGTCAATTTCTATTGAATTGGAGAAGATGTTGTAATCGTTTTGTTGAACTTGTACTCTATTAAACAAGTAACTGAAGGGATATCACAAGTCAAGTGCTACTTTGGTGATAATTTTGGAGATTGCTATTGTTACTTTGGTTTTTGTTCATCAAACGACAAAATTTCCTTTCACTAAATGTCTTATTTTTCATGTACTACTAAGGAGCCAAACTGGTTTCATATGCTGATTTTCTCATGTATTCCTTTGTAGGTGTCTCAATGTAACTCTGCATCAATACATATACACTCTGACCCGATACACAAATGACAATGTCCTAATTAAGTAAAACTAAAAAAAAGGAGAAAGACACTTTCAGATGTACATGAAAACAAAAATGTTTTCCTTCAGAACACATAAGGTAGTAAACTTTGTTTGACTTATAGAGAGGATTTGAAAGAGGCTATCAAAATATACAAATACAAAACAAAAGTATCTTGCTCGTTACGGATTTATAGATTCCAACCCAAAATTATAAATGAGACTAAGACGAATCTCACATATTGTTTTACCCTTTCATACCAATTTGAGAAACAATCTATGTCCATATTAGACCATAGTCATTAGCATATACAGAGACATTATTTATATCAGATAGAGACATCAACTCCTTCCACTCTAGGCATCTGAGACGTGTCAGTGATAGCTAGGAGGAGCTTGTGCTTCTCTCAATTCCTTGTCCTCGTAATGAACATCTTGCACACAAATGACCCACAGATTATGAGATTCGAGATATTTTGGAAAACATATGAACACAATACCTTTCATTATATGGCCGTCATTGAATGGAACAAGTTGATTACTAGAATCTTGATAACTCCCAGAAAAAATGGAACACAATACATCTTAAAAAAGTGACCAAATTGTAAAACCAATCAAGAGGCATGAAAATGGAAAATGGAAGCTAATACTCACAGATGGTTGACATCACGGTGTTGGAAACTTTGCTTTGTATGGCTTTGCCCTTATGGCTGTCCTTTATGCAGCTCTTCAACCTACTTGCATTCAAACACAAAAAAGAAAACATACTCAAAAATATAAAAAATAAAACCCAAAAAAACCCAGAATTCGTGCAACACTGCAATCCCTGATATACCAACACCAAGAACAATAACAGAAGGGATGAAAATAGCCTACTATCGAATAATACATCAGAGAATGGATCATTCGGTTCCATTGGAATTGAAAAGAAAAAGGAGATTTGAAAAAATTGAATTCAATTTTTAAATAATTCGAACAAATTTAACAATGACGAGAGCAAATCCTACTAAGAGAAAACCCTGCTCACATCATAAAAATTGAACCTAAAAATTGAGAATGGAGAAAAAGTAAGATGTCATTCTTCGAAAACATACCTGATTCCTTGTTTTTCAAGATTGTCTAGCTTTTCTATTCAATTTTACAGCTCGTCGTTGTTGCTCGAAGCTTGCCATTGCCACTCTGGGTTGATGGTTGTTTGAGCAAGGAGAGGTAGTCTGTGAGAGAGAGAGAGGAAAGAGAGAGAGAGAGAGAGAGAGAGAGAGGAAGGGAGAGACAGAGGGAGAGGAAGAGGGAGAGGTAGTGTGAGCGGGAGGGAGAATGACGATTGGAGTCCTCTGTCATTGGAGAAGACGCCGTTAACCTTTGGGCTTCCAAGCGTGAACGAGGTTTGGTTCTTATTGTGTACAGAATGTCAAAATATCCTAATAATTAAGCCTTTATCTTGCACATTTTTCTTTTTCTGTTATTGGTCTTCTAAATGGCCAAATTCATCTTTAAAGATTAATTAGACCTCAACTCAGCACCATCTTCAATTATCTCCTTTTGATTCCCTCTCAACATTAGCATTCGTATTTAATTTCCACTTTTAGCACCATTTTGCCTCATTTTCCCTAAAATGGACTCTACAATATGATTAACTGCACACCAACATAAAAGAGGATAAAACTTAAGCAGTTTAACTAATAAATATCACAAAGAGACTAGGAATAGATGATATAAATGTATGAAATATACGAGTTATCAAATACACCGAAACTTGATTTTTGCTAATGCTAGAGCAAAACTAAAACTAAAAACAAACAAACTAAAAAAAAAAATCTAACTATACCATTTTCGATGGCTGAACAATTGCAGTCAACATGTGTAACAAGCCTTTAAACCTCTTGGTGTCCTTAGTAGGAGTTGTGTCTCCTAAAGGTTTCTAGTGATAACACTCACACGCATCTATAGACTCTACACAAAAATTGGTTGTGTCTCCTATGGCACAGATCAGTTTCGCTAGTTTGAGTTGCAAATGAGCTCCACAAAATTGTCAGACTATGCCAAGGTAAATATGTTATATAAATACAGAAGCATCAGTAATGCGAAAAATGGGCCTTCCAATTCAACACACAACTGACATGCGCAAACCTCTCAAACAACTTGAGATTTTTATTTTCTTTTTCCCCGCCAAGACATCTTTAGTTTGGATAAACAACAATGTGAAGGCAACTGACAACATCTTCAGTTTGGATAAACAACACTACTTTGAGATTGACTGGTTTTCTATCCAAGTCTCGATCAACGAGGATTTCTGAGTCCTTGTTGGAAGAGGTCATTTTATCAGCCTTCTTGGCGGAGTGAGGTGTTACCATGCTTGGCACATTGAAAGCTGAGTTTATTTTATGATTGGATATTCGTAAGCACATTTTAGAGTTCGGCATTGCGACGGCTGAACCACATTTACAATCAAGACACTTATCTTTTTTTGAGTATTTGTGTCCGTACAATCTGGTACTAGTTCGGCGTACTTATATTCTCACAAATATAATTACTGAGGCCGAACCCAGCGTCGACGATTCGTGAACTTAGAAGAAACTAGCAACCTTGTCTTCAGGCTCTAGAACCCAAAGGCCCAGACGAGTTCCTCCTTCAGCCGCACTCGCAAGACGCAGAAGTTAGCAGCACATCCAACACAAACATCAACATTCATTTTACTCCCTGACCAAGTTCGATCGACGAGTGAGCACACCCTGCATTTGACCGAATGACGTAGTTACCTTATTAATTACTCAGCCTGCGCAACACGTAGGCTAGGTAGTTTTTAGGGTCAACAACTGTACTTTACTTATGCTCTAGCATCACGTGTGAAATAGGTTCATTTCCGCTCACATGCGCACTCTTCCATTTAGGCACTTCTGGTTTAAATTTACTCACATTTTTCACATCACTACACTTTATGGCTTTGTCACCTTTCTGATGTCAGCCAGCACAGCTCGATTTAAAGTCCAAGTGAACATTCCGGTTCGGAGTGTGTCAAGATAAGCCAAAGAGACGTTTAAACTTGAAAAACAAAGATGATCACACCAATTTCGTGTGTGAACTACTAAGAATTTATGCTCATTTCGTAAAATTTTTAACATGGATCAAGTAGTCAAGTCATTTCCAATAGCATCCATATTTCTTGACAAACCATTTAAGTAATGCCATTTTCTATATAGATGGCTAAGAACAGCTTAAAAGAGAGAGGTCGGATAGTCCAAATTCTAAAAGAAGGGGAAGGCCATATTCTGGTAGAAAAGAATATCAGTCTCCACTTGAGAAAGGAAGGTTATCTGTATCTATTTTTAGAGATTTAATCTCATAAACTACAATTACAGAATAATAAAGATATATAAGAACTTGTTCAACTCTAAACGCGACGTGTTTGGTTTAGATCCCTACTTTATAAATGACATAATAGAATGTGGTTTCCTGAAATCACATGAATGCAAGGTTCTAAAAGAGCTTAGGCATTAGCTGGGCAGCGGATTGGGGCCTAGTCCCTAGGCAGCTAGGTGGGGGCCTAGACGGATTTAAGTAAATTAACTAAATATCGTATAAATAAGTGTTTGGTGATATTTAAAAACTACATAATTTTAACCACTTAGTACTACAATCTAGTGGTATTCTTTTTCACTTGTATGCGAGTATGCGAGAGTTGTTAGGTTCGATTCTCGCCAAATGCAAAATTGAACCATATTATTATGGCAAACTTATTGTAAGGCTTAGCCTACTGTCTCACTCCTTTAGCATAAATATTATCATTTATTAAAAAAAAAAACATAATTTGTTTAGGATATATAAACTAAGAAATAGAATGACAAATATATTATAAAATATTAGAACATAATGAAAACATAAGGAACAAACATATAATGTGTGTTCATCTATGTAACATCACACATCGCCCAGAGGAGTGGATCCTTTAAGCCTTATATGTATATTCCCATCTCTACCTAGCACGAGGCCTTTTGGGAGCTCACTGGCTTCGGGTTCCATCAGAACTCCGAAGTTAAGCGAGTTCGCGCAAAAGAAATCCTAGGATGGGTGACTCATTAGGAAGTTCTCATATGAGTTCCCAGAAACAAAACCGTGAGGGCGTGGTCGGGGCCCAAAGCGGACAATATCATGCTACAGTGAAGTCAAGTCCGGGATGTGATGGGGGCTTGGGCCGGGATGTGACAATTTGGTATCAGAGCCAATCCCTGGACGGAAGTGTGTCGATGAGGACGTCAGGCCCCCTAAGGGGGGTGGATTGTAACATCACACATTGCCCAAGGGAGTGGATCATTTAAGCCTTATATGTATATTCTCATCTCTACCTAGCATGAGGCCTTTTGAAAGCTCACTGGCTTCGGGTTCTATCGGAACTTCGAAGTTAAGCGAGTTCGCGCGAGAGCAATCCTAGGATGGGTGACCACTGAGAAGTTCTCGTCTGAATTTCCAGAAACAAAACCGTGAGGGCGTGGTTGGGGCCCAAAGTGCACAATATCATGTTACGGTGGAGTCGAGCTCGGGATGTGATGGGGGTCTGGGCCGGGATGTGACAATCTATGTGTTTAACAAGTCTTTTATAATTTATGAAAAATAAATAAAATGCAAAATAAAATTTATCTATTTTCTATCTAAATGAGAGTTGCAACCTAGGCTGGTTATGGAGGGTGCCTAAGCAATTATAGGCGTCATTTCTTAATTTTCAAACATCTAGTGATTAATCGGGATGGTGACGCTTAGTGATTAATCAAGGCGGTGATCAGCTGTGGTGCTAGACGGAAATTTTTAGAACAGTGTATGAATGTCAGAGTAGAACAATGCTCACCCCAGTTCTTCCAAGTCTACAAAGATTCAAAGCACCACAAAAAAACAATGACAACGTAAGAGGAGTAAGAAAATGACCAACATATATGATCCAAGGTAAAAAAGTAAAATACTATTCGAAAAAATTAATCTGAAGCGACACGAATCAAATAACACATCTCCAAATCTGTGAATTCATCGTGACCCCGAGTAATATACTCAAATAAGTTGATGAACAAGGACTAATATGACATGACAGAAGCCCATAATAAGAGCAGAGCAGAAAATCCAGTCCACTCAACCTTGCCGGAACCGCTACCGTCATTTCCCGGTGTTCCTACAAACATTAATCACAATATTATAACATCATATGCTAGATTTCACATTAAATTTACGACTTGGCTAACTGCTAAAAATTTATAAGATTTTTTTATTTTCAACTCAATGAAAAGGTATGATGACATTACCGTTTGACTCTTGATTGATGCCCAAGAAACATTCCAAAAGATGTGGAAAATAAAAATATAAGGTTAAATATCAATTTATTACTTTGAAGTTTTTTGGATTTTTAACATTTCATATATCAAGTTTTTTGTCCAAGTTTAATACTTAAAATCATAATTTTAAGTTCCACGTGTCAATCTGGCATCATATGGACATTAAAAATATTAGAAGTTAAAAAAACTAAGAATATATATACATATATTTTCTTGCTTCTGAAATTTCAACAGGGCAGTCAAACTTGGAGGCACCAACAAAAGTTAACAAATTACACTGAAACACATGGCACGTCCAGGTGAAGTGCACTTAGAGTTAGACCTCAGCCACCACTCATTACAAAACATAAAAGTTTGTAAAACAGGGCTAGGTAGAGTAACTTTCAAAATAATGCCATCTTCCGTGGCATGTGAAGTAAAAGTATAGTCGTGTCATATAAATAAATATTTTTTACGATATTTTAATTGTATGTATAACATTCTTACTCTAATGATTATGTTATCTAATGACATTTATCATTAGATGAAAAAAGTTATATTTTAATTGTATGTATAACATTCTTACTCTAATAATTATGTTATCTAATGACATTTATCATTAGATGAAAAAAGTTATAAATTTAAGTGTTATAAACGATACTTGTTGAATAAAAAAAACAAACTTAGCAACCGAGACAGACCAAACAAAAACTCTCTCTCAACACTCATAATTATCATTGACTTTGAATTCAAACCGCTATTAACATATCGAAAAATTAGTTGGTGTATGACAGGGGTGAAACTTTGATAGCAATATCTGATTACGACTAATTTTGGGTTAAAATATTCTTAAATATTTCCTCCGGTTCAAATTCGTAACTGAAATTCCAAAATCTTAAAAAAAAAAACTGGATAGGAATCGGAATTTATTTAATATTTCCGAATCCGTTCAGAAATTCCGATCCGATCATCAGACCTAGTTGTATAGGGATGCCTTAGAGCAGTTTATGATCTCAGTTTTAAACACACAAGATTATTAGCGATTAAATACAAATCCCATCTCTGCTACCAGAATTTTAAATTACCCAATTGAATTTTGAAATTTAAATATTGATATAAAACAATTTTTGTAACTATGATAATATGAAAGAGAAAAGTTTGGTACCAGGGGTTCCAGGTGTGGATCCTGGTGTAGGAGCACCTATGGCAGCTGCCAAAATCAAACCACAAAAACATATTAGTTCAAGATCTGAAACGGGCGAGTTGAGAAAATCCAAATTAAACAAATGGCGAACTGAGCAATAGTACCTTTGCATTTGGCGGTATTCATTGATTCGCCGCAAGCGGTGGCGATTCTGAGACCGGAAGTGGCGTTGCCGCCAAAAGTCTCAAGGAGTCCGGGAGTGAAAAAGAGGTTGCAGAGACACGTAAACTGGGTGGCCACCGCCTGCTTGATGGCGGTGCAGCAGTTGGCAGCTGGCTGAGCTGTGTTCTTGAGGTAGGCACCGCAGGGCACCAGGTCCTGAGCACAAGCAGGCGGCGTTTGACCGGCTGACGGTCCGACCAAACTTGCCATGCCTAACAACACAACCACCGTGGCCATCGCCAACTTGGAAATGGTAAAGCTGCCCATCTCTCTCCCTCTCCTCTCTCTCTCTAATAAATTGGGAAGATGGGTGGCTTTACTATTTTTTTCGAATGCCGTGTGAGGCTTATATACAGCCGTTGTCACTTATTCAGCTTTATGGTTTGAGGACAAGTAAAAGATTATCCCAAAAAACGGACGCGCCATTGTGTTACTAGAAGGGATTTCTTAAGAGTTTTTTTTTTTTTTTTTTTTTTCAACGCAATTGCTTGTAATCTTCAAAATTGATAAAATATTGCATACGGTTACGAAGATATTGTTGAGAATGAGTCTTACATCGATAAGATAAAGGACTTTGAATAGATTTATAAGAGATTGAGCTACTTTTCGATTATATTGCTAATTGGTTTTATAGTGGAACTTCAACTTTCTTCATGGTATTAGAATAACGTTAGCCCGCGTGTGAAGCCAAACGACCACACGCTCTCAACGCCACTTTGTTATGCTGTCCACATGTTAGTCTTGAAAATTCGCCACACGTGAAGGAGCATGTTGAAAATGAATCTCACATTGATGAGAGAAGAGATCTTGCATGAGCTTATATGAGATTAGACTACTCCCTATATTGCTAATTGGTTTTATGATGGAACCTTAACTTCTTTCAGATATAACAATTGATAACCAACGTGCAAAAGTGATCCACAAATGTGTAGTTCAATTTCGTTCGACTTAAGTTTAACTCTCGTAAACTGAAACATAACCACTCATAACCTTTACTTAATAACTTTTATTTCATAACTTAGTCTCATATTTACCCACTTTCGAGAATAGTGGTGCAACATGATATGCTGGAGTTGATGCACATTTTTTATCTGTGATAACCGAAATAGATTATGAGGTGATTATTCTTTGATTTGGGGCAAGTTGATGTACATTTTAGTCCTGATGCAACTTCTATTGTCAAAAGATGTGATGACATTGTCACCCACATT